AATATATAGACACACACACACACTAATCAGCTCTGATGGTACCTTGCTGTGGTTAGAAGAACAGAATGAAGAATGTCCAGAAGGATTCAACTTGGATCAATTCCTGAAACATCAACAACAGCATTGGCCAAAAGTGCAAGATCTAAAAGGTCGTCACTGAACTTAATGAGAGCATATTTGGCTGTCGACCAGAAGTCAAGCTATATGGAGAAAGAAAAATGTAGTGTAATGATTGTATTAAATGAATTTCAAGATTATATTTTAACTTAGATTTTAGCATTGAAAAAGCTAAAAATGGCAGGGGAAACTATTGAGAGACCACTCTTTGTGATAGTTACTTTTTTTAATTCAAGAGACAAATATTATTAACTGACTTTACTGAAGACATAGGCCTGGGTGTTGTCAAGGAAACAGAAGAGAAGACATAGTCTTTACTTTCCATCTGATTTGCTCATAATCTAGCAGAAATAATAGTATAATAGTAACACAGCAAATTTTTAAACAGTACGGTGATTACTCTGTGTCAGTCACTGTTCTGGGTGCTTTAAGTTTATAAATAATTTACAGCAACCCTATGAGATTGGTGAGGTAGGCAACAACCTAAATGTGATAACGTCATACAATACGAGGCCCTAATTGCTCTTAGAGCCTGACGAATGCCTGCTTGTTATAGCAGAAAGGGAATGGGTGGTGGATGGACATGGCCTTGAGTTCACGTGGTGTGTCTGCTCGGTAGGACACACGTAATTTTGGACTTCCGCTGGAACTCTTTGCTATTTAGTTTTCACATCAATTAATAATACCAACCTTGCATCTTTTTTAAGGCACATTAGAGATATGTGTAAAAGGCCTTGTTCATAGTTAGCTCTCAATATAAAGAAGTTTTATTATTAGGTAAGTAAGGGGATGATGGGAACACGCATAAAGAAGGTGATGTCTTGAAAAGATTTCAGTAAGAGAAAAAGCAGACAAAGTTATGTGAGAAAGAAGGAGCAGCAGATGATATGAACTGGGAGATACAGTGTGCTGTTTACAGTGAGCAGTTAATTTTAACTGTAGTATAAGGGGTGAGAGCAAGAGTGCTGAGCATCTAGTCTGGAAAGGTAGGCTTATTATTTTGGACTCCTTAAATCAGGGATTGGCAAACAATTGCCTTCCTGTTTTTGTACAGCTCAAGAGCTAAGGATGGTTTTATATTTTTAAATGACTGAAAAAAATCGAAAGAAGAATGTTGTATGATACGTGAAAGTTATACAGAATTCAAATTTCAGTGCCTATAAACGAAGTGTTGTTGGCACACGGCCACACTAATTCATTTACATGTGGCAGAGAACGTATGGCCTGCAAAGCCTGATTATTTACCATCTGGTCCTTACAGGAAAAGGTTGCTGACCCCTGCCTTAGTTATGATGCTTATTTTTTTAATCCTAAGGTTCATCATCCTTTGATGTCAACAAATTTAAACAACCCTATTTTATAGTTTGGGAAAGAATATGGCAAACAAGCTGCTTCTCTTGTTCAGTGTCTCTGACATGGATGAAAAGGCAGCTTCTGGAGGTCCCAGAATGGCTCCTTGGCATTGCTAGTTTGGGTCTGTGTGACTCACATTGATTCCAGGTTCCCTAACCTGAAAACCCCTGGGGGCAGCGTGAGCCACCTCTCGCCTCTGTGGGTGCCCCAGAGCCATGGCCCCCGGGAAGGATAGAGTGCGTGTGTCCTAGAGTTGTGGGGGAAGTGGCTCTGCAACCCTCTCACTCAGCTCTGCCCCTCTGAGACATTAAACTGCCATCTCTTTAAGAAAAAAAAAAAACTTATGTAATATGCATTTAAAAAGATGCAAAGTTGGTATTATTAATTGATGTGAAAACTAAATAGCAGAGAGTTCCAGTGAAAGTCCAAAATTACATGTGGACCCAGTGGCAGACACACTATTGCTTATGTATTGCTTGCTATTGTGGGTTACAGTGTGAACAGTGTTTTGGTTAAATTTCCAATTATATATAGTCTCCAGTGAGATGTAGTTTCAAATATGAACAGAATCTGTTTAGACATGACTTTTACCTCCCTTTCTTTCCTTCTCCTTTGTCTTTCCTCAATTGTTATTTTAACTTTTTTTTCCAAGTATAACCCTACTCCTTAAATCTAATAGTTATGGAATGTGTTGCTTATATAGAAGTCAATGAGAAAGAGAAACAGGAATTAAAATTTTATTGCAAAAGCTTTTTCTTCAATTTGTTTAACAATCCTATCTATCACACCACACCCCTCTTTGAAAACAAGATGTCTGGCTTATTCTGATTTGCTCTGACAATCATTTTGTGTAGCAATTCCTTTTGTCTGTAGTCTTGATTCATAGCCTTTGATATGAATTCTTTTATTGCTCTATTTTCATAATAGCTTTTAAGCAGCCAATCATCATGCATGCTACTGTGTTTCTTTATGACTCAGTGGCATCCAGATGTCTACACCTCATGTTGTTGCCTCTTAGACACATTTGAAAAAACAAGTTGCTATAAAATAATTGCATTCATTTGTGCAGTAATTTTAAATTATTCTTTCATAAGTCAGTCAAACTTTTACTTGAATACAGAAATAGTTGGTTTCCCTTTTGGTAAACCTGAATGACTATCTTAAAAGTTATCATGGTTTTGAATTGATTTAAAAGGAGATGGTAAACAGGATTTTTAAACACAGTCTATCATGTATAGACATATGAGAATAAGATTTCTCTCGCAATTTGTCAGTTTTATAAGAAATATAAGAACAAACTGAATAGGCTAATATCCAAGCTATTTGTGAGTATGTTTAGAGTTTCTAAGGAAGTACATTTAGGTAAATAAGAATGCTCTGCTTTATTTTCAGCAGTACCCAAATTAAATATTGGATTACGTGTATAGGCCCAAGAAAATTTTAATGACGAGGTCAGGTTTCTTACAATAGAATTTGCATCACAATTACCTGATGAGCCTTTTAAAAATACATAACCTTGTGCCTCATCTTGGATCTGCTGAATCAAAGTCTTGGAAGGGGCAGGCGTGTGTTAGAAAATTCCCCTTGGTGGTTCTGATTTCTCACCTTTGGTTGAGAACCATTGGGCTACAAATATTTTTAGATACTAGACAAAAAAGGTAGTCTCATAAAAACATCACAGAATTTGTTAAGAAGGTTTAGGGCACTGTCTACCATGTGCCCCAGCATTGTCACATGAAGCCTCAGATAAGAATTAAGACTGCATTTCCCATAGAGATTCCGTGAAGTTTTCTGTGGTCAAGAAAAACAATGTACCTGACTGTTTCTTTCCCCATTTCCCACTTTGGCCATCAGGATTTTCTGGGGCAAAAGTATAGCTCAATTTTAAGGCTCTTCTGGCTTGGATATCTGCATTCTAGCTTTTTCTAATTCAACAAGAATTTATTGAGCCCTTTCTGCATACCAAATTCATAACAGGCACCCAGAATGCTGGTAATGAACAGAACGGTCTGGAGTTTACAATCTACTGGATGAGACAGATATTAAGCAAATAAACATTTCAGGAAGTGCTCCCTGGTCTAGATACTGTAAACCCATTTTGCGTCTTGATTTATATAGTTTCCCCTCAGTATTAACCAGAGATGAGCCATGGAATCTCTTTATGTAATATTTATATGCAGACATACATACATACATATATAGTATATATATTTATATTTTATATGTATGTGGGCACAGGTATATATGTGTGTTATATTTTATAGATAGTATATATATATATATATACACTATATGTCATATATATAGCATATACATACATAATGGGTGTATGTATGTATTCTATTTTATATTTATAGAACTACGTTGTTTTATTTATTTTAATCAGCAGCACATCCTGTGGGATGAGTTGGCCTATATGCATACCTACATGTGTGCACACACCTATGCCCATATACATGGTGGATGAATTTGGATTACAAGTCTCACCATGACATTTTAGCCCATTTTTCTTAATGCTTTCTTGTTAAATATCGACAATTAAGTAAATTATGCTTCATATTTGATACTATTTCTGTTACTTTCTTTACTTTTTAAAATTTTTGTTTTATATCATAAAATGTAAAGAATATTTTGGGACAATTTTTCAGTGGTGATATTGAGATGGAAAGTCACAAAAAGCTGTGACTTGGTATCCCTTGAAGAAAGAGAAGCATGGTATTGTCACAAACAACTTCAACATGTTGTGTATATAATTCTTTTTTTCACAGATGTTGCTTCTCTAGGACAACATTTAATTGCCCTTACAACTTTTTTAAACTACCGTGTGGTTTGACTTGGGTCACTACTTTTGAGATAGTGTTAGCATGTTAATCCTCTTGGAAAGTTACAGAATAGAGATTCTGGAATACAACTGTCAACCATCTAATATAAATAAGAGAGGTATAACGTATACTGATGGAGGAATAGCACAGGGGGAACCAATGGGTGCCTCATGGAGAAGAATCGGCTGTGTTTTCAGACTGCAGAGCCTCAACGTGCTACCTCTGCTGCTGCGCCTGCATTTGGATGACCTGAGAGGTGGGGATTGTACTAGAGTCCCCCAAATCAATGAAAATAACCTTTTAAATGAGAAATTCAGTGGGAAGTTGTATCTTTCTTCCTTTTTCATGTGCCCCCCTGGGTAGTGCAGTTAAATTACACAGTTGAAGAATATTACCTGATGTCCCTGTTGGAAAAGATTTTTAAATCTTATCAGTTGTCTTTCAAATAATATTCTAAAGACCTGCATTTGCGCATGCAATGTATGGCAGCAGAACGGATTAAGTTAGCGCAAAAGCACTTATCATTGTCTATGGGCCAGAAAAGCGGCAAGGATTCTGACTGGCATTATTATTTATTATTTTTGAATGCTGATGGTGCATTTTTGTAGCTGAGTCCTTTCTATGCTTATTGACATTCATAAATGAAGAGGCTCTGCTTTGCTGACTATTTAATTGGCAATTTAATTTTCCTAATAACTTGCTTTACAGGACCTGGATTTTGAAGCCAAAACAAGTTACACACTACGAATAGAAGCTGCAAACAAAGATGCCGACCCTCGCTTTCTGAGCTTGGGGCCGTTCAGTGACACGACAACCGTGAAGATAATTGTGGAAGATGTGGACGAGCCCCCCGTATTTTCCTCCCCGTTGTACCCCATGGAAGTGTCAGAAGCTACCCAAGTTGGGAATATCATTGGCACTGTAGCAGCTCATGACCCAGATTCCTCCAACAGTCCTGTGAGGTAAAAGCTCATCGCTCTCCTTTTCTGCAATTTTACAACATGTGCTTTATTCACAACTCCTGTTTCTGCATTATGATGCTTTTGGTTCATAGCAAATGAAAACCAGTTTTGTATATGTATTGAGCCATAGCAGCAGAAATGAAACAGGGTCAGAACAACTCAACATTTTACTAATTCAAAAATGAGTCACCTGATTATCCAAGGGCATCATTATGTAGCAATATTTTTAGGCAGCCATTATTATCCATAAGCCATAGCTGATGTTCCTATTCAGCCAATTATCCTGAGGGCTTTCAAAGAAAACTCTTTTAAAAGATGATGTGATGCATGTCCTAGTTGTAGGATAAATGCATATATTAGAAAACTAATTTTATAAACAATTTAAACTAGGGATTAATTTTTAAAACATCATTTTTTCATATTAGTCTATTTGGATAACATCTGTTTGGTTTATTATTTTCACTTATAAAAAATAAAATAATACCTTATCTATGTATAAAGACTATTTAAAAATGTTCTTTCAGTAGTCATGTATAGAAACTAGACACATTGTTGTAACCCACTAACCTCTTTAGGACTAACAAAATGATGGTATGTAAGCATTAAAAAATATAACAACATTTCGTTTCATACTTTTTACCTGAAATTTACAATCGGAGATCTATGTATATGATTTTGTTTATGCATGTGTTTGTGTGCATATGATAAATTGTCTTTTTAAGTGAATATTATATATAGATATACTTGAAATTCCATTTTATTACATGTCTTACTTTAGGTTCATAAGTAAGACTTTTTAGTGTGACAGTTTGGATTTTGATTACAAAGTCTATAAAGTACAAAACTCAATGAATGTTTTACATTCAAATATGTTCAGCTTATAAGCTAACCTTCTCGATTGAACCAATATTTGACAATGCTAAGTGCTTCTGAGCTAAGTCTGGACATTAACTACAAAATGTCAAGAAAAATATCTATAATTTATACAATGATTCTTAATTAAGAAAAGCTCATAATCTTTTATCTCCATAAAATAATAAACTGATTTAGGCATTTATATGTAATTAGTGCTCTCCTTTCCTTCTCTTTTGCCTGACGATATCATAGCCTAGTAAAGAATTGGTATAGAATAATTGTTATCTCAAAAATGAAGTCATACTCATTGTTTTTCTACCTATACAACAAATTCAGCTTATATGGATGTCTATATTATTTTTAATGCAGTGATTATAAACCATTTCTAAGAATATAATCTCCTGTGCCCTGGAATATTTGAGAGTCAAAAATGTACTGGATAGAATAAGCCTACCCCTCCTCCCTGTAATAGCCCAGCCTTCATTGTCAAAACAGCTCCCTAACTTGAGCTCAGCTCCATCCATGAAGTCTTATTGACTTGGACAAACTTGACTTTGGGTTTATTATTGCATCGCATCTCTTGGTGACACACTTAAGTCTTCTTCCCTCATGAACCATCAACCGCAGCACAACTGTGGGCACATAGATCAGCTATTAAGGATAGTCTGACTTCTGCTTAAGTCATTTAATTTAGTGGGAAGAAAGAGAGAATGCTTTCATGAAGTTGGGAATATGGAAAAAGAAAGAGACACTAATACATGTTGTAATTCAGTACCTCAGTGAATGAGAGGATTTAAGAAAATTTTGATTTATTGCATTGATATTTTTATCTTGTTTCTTATTTTTCCTTTACCTATTTGTTTGTGTATCATCCTGTTACAAAGCCTTTCAAAGTAAATATTTCACTTTTTATAATATTTTGTTTGAAAAAAAATCCAATATTATGTAATAGTTTGTGGGAGAAGGAGAAAGAGTAGGACCAAGTAGGCAATGACTTGAATTAGAGCTGAAGTGAGCGCCAGGTCTGCTCCCTGAAGGACAGAGATAGAAAGGGGCAAAGGCTGAACTCTGTTGACTTTGGAGGTAAAAATCTCTGTCACCTTCATCAATGAAAGAGCAGCTGGCCAGCACCATATTTTAACCTCATTTTCATTTTCTTAAAACTAATGAAGGTGACCTGAAAGTTCAGATTAGCACTATCTTATGTCATTTTCTGATCCCTAACTCTCCCAAATAGACAGAGACAGACTTTGTTCAAAATGAACTAAAATGTTATTTTGTGTATGTGTGAATATTTCTTTTGCTTTTGTAAAAATAATTTCTGGACTTACATTTAATACTTGTATTCTTGAAACGTTACTTTATACCATTTTTAATAAGGTCAGCATAATCATTCATAGCTTATATTTTTCTATATTTGTCTCTCACATATTTCTCCTTCCCTGTCCATCTGTGATATCCTTTAAGAGGCCAGTCTCCTCATTCTGTAGTTTGGTGAGTAGATGTGTATTCCTCCGCATTCTCTAGAAGACTGGTTCTCTTTCCAGCACTGCTATTTGCTGAGTGATCTAGGGGATGTCACTTAGCCTCCTAAGTTTCCATGTAACCCAATAAAAAACGTAAAGCAACTCTTATTCCTTCCTTTCCAGGTTTCTTTTTTTGAAGATTAAGAAATAAAGAGGAAATAACTGATGCTTTTAAACTGTGAATCATGACTTAAGTATTAGGAAGTATTATCATCATACCTTGCTATTATTATAGTTGATTGTATTTTCATATCATTTTTATTTCAAGGTCAATAAAGTCAATGAAAGGAGATATATTTTACAAGGAACTGTATTGGTGATCTATACTGAAGGTTGTTTTGTTTTTGTGTATGTTCCAATATATAGAAAATATTACATAGTTATTTAATGGACAAACATGTATTTCCATTGGGCACTCAAGTAACTGTCAGAATGTAAGCCCTCCTTCAACAATGCCAATGGATGGGTAAATAGCACAGTCTGCTGAGGTCCTAGGAAAAATGAATCTCCAGATTGAGATTGGATGTGAAGAGTATTACACTTGTGAGCTTTGTGCTTCTATATCTTTAGAAATATTATAGTTCTTAGAAGGATGGAAAAACAGTTTTTTGTGTGTGTTTCATTGTAATTGTTTAAAATTAAGCCAATAGTATTTGAATTCTAAAACAGTATGGGAAATTATATAATTAGTGTATGAATTTATTGACATGCTTTCTAGTAAAATACTGAAATCTAGCATTTTCCGTTTATATTTGGACTATTTACTGATATATGGATCAAGAGATTAGAATTCTAGGTAGAAATACATTTACCTGCCTCCAGCAAGGCAAAATTGAGATTCTCTTCCCACATGATCCCTGCCTTGCCCAGCATTTTTCAATTTTTACCTACTTTTGCCACCAGCTAAAATCTATGCATAGCTCTTCTCTGCGCATGTGCACTTTCTTTAAAGAGGACTGGGGCAACTGCGCCCCCATAGAGCATTTCGACCATTTGGAAGTATCTAGCAATAGGTGGAAATATTGAACGAACCCAGAGTCCAGTGATCGGCCAGAATATAGCACCATTGTGAAATGTTATATCTTCATTATAGCTTGCCCACCATCCGGATAGGTTACCTTGCCCACCATTTCATGTACACTTTGCTTTCCTCTTTTCCTATATGGAAACTGGAAACCGAAGGTGGAAATTAGGTGATACTTGAGATTACTTAGGTAGAAAAAAAGAAGGGATTTTTTAAAAAGCAAAAGTGGGTAATTGAGGGCCAGCATGTTTCTGGCTTTTTATTTCTTATGTAGTTGCTTACCATTTCATGTCAATTTTGGCTCTGAGCATCACAGATCAGGCTTTATCTGTTGAACTTGGAAAGACAGATTGTGTTCTGCTAATTTTGATCATCTTTCTGAACAGTAGAAACTTCATTTCTGTGTTTCTCATCAATAAGATGGTAAAAACTGTAAAAGCAGCCTAGAGTCTAGAGGACCCTTTGTTCCTTATGTCAGCATTGGTAGACTGTTCGATAAATCAACAAACATTTATTAAGAACCTGCTCTGTGCACAACACTAGGGAAAATACTGACAGGAAAAACAAAGATGAATAAAACATCCCCTCTGACCTCAAGGAACTTACAATCTGGTTGAAGAAATAAGATCGCATAAGAGTTAGATGATATGAGAGGAAAAAATGCCACAGCTGTAACATGGCAAACTGCGAGATAAGTTGTAATCCCTCCGAGTTCTCTGGACATGAGGCTTCATTTGAAGGAGTGACAGCATAAGCAGGGCTTTGAGGGATGGTGGGATTTGGACAAGCCAAGAAAACATTATGCAAAGTCTGTTTATGTTTAATTTACTTATATCCTAAGAGTCTAGTGCTAAATTTATTTCTGTAGGTAGCACAGCAAGCCCAAAGTCCTTATGCTAAAAATAGCTAATGAATTGAAACCTGATATTATTACAAATAAGATCAGATGTGAAGAGGGGTGATAAGCAGTAATAGGGATCACTTTTAGAATTTCTAACAATTTAAATACAGAACTATATTTGTACTTATGTTCAAGGATACTAGGGTAATGATATTTACCTGCAGGCTCTTTGGCATTCCTGGTATCATATGTCCTCAGATAAAAGGTGATAAAATAGTATCAGATATTACATTATGTAGTGTGACTAGTATGAACACATTTGGGGTGTCTGACTAATTCACTGTGTATTTTTAAGTAGCTTGTCTGAATGCATATATTTATACATATTATTTTAATCTAAATTATTTGTGAGTGTCCCACAGAATTAAATAAAAAGTTGATTAGCCAGTCTTCAGAAGAGAGGAGTAAGGTTTCTCTATAAATATGAGCAGCAAGAAAGAGCAGACAGTCTTTTCAGGAAGCAGCAGTGGGATGAACTAGTGCCAACTCTTTTCTTTTCTGTCGCCCTTGTTTTATTGTTCACATTTCTTGGAAAGTGTTTTGGCCTGTCTTAGGACATGTGTCATCTCTTACCCAGAAAGTTCTGGGCATCTTGATTGTGAGCGCCATCAAGATTGCATGAGATTGGGAAGGTGTAAATCCTCAAAGGAAAATTGAGTTGCCATTATCAGAAGAAGGGGGTGAGGATGCAAAC